CGATTTTATACTGATGTACAGCAGTTTGTAGATCTTGGGAAAGCACCTTTATCAGGGCATTTGAAAACACTTGGAACTACCTTGGCTATTTAAACCCTTCTTGGTCTTAGTACAGTGCTTCACTTTGATGTATTTGTAGGGCCCTGGTCTAGGTTTGATTTTCCTAGTATCATAGGGAATATTACTATCTACCCAGTAGGTGTTGCCGTGAGAGGACATGGAGTTACAGGGAAGGATTCCACACATAATTTCAAGAGGGGTGTTGGTTATCAGTCAATAACTTTGTAATACAGCAGAGCATTAGTTTCCTGAAATCCTATGAAAGACTAATGAAGGCTCTGTTTTGTCAAGCTATCATTAAAGTTGTGTGTGTATCTATATATATATATGTATATGCACATATACTATGGCAGTTAAGACAGAAGGCTGTAGCAGAAGAGGTCAGTTACTGACTTTTCAGTAACTAGTTAGATAATAACTTTATAAAGTATTGCTTACTAAAGTAAAAGCAGCAATACTTACATGCTGTTGCATTAATTTAGTAATATACTATATGTGCTGACGAGATATAGTATTCTCTACAAGGAGGTGTCAGACTGCAGGTGACAGAAAATCTTAGTTTCATATAAAAATGAAATACACTGTTGGTTCAGTAAGATTTTTTTTTCAAAAAACTAAAAGCTAATCCTAGAATTTGATTTTGAATTTAATATAAAACTTGATGTTGAAAGTCTACAACCCAAATATCTGCATTAAAAAAAAACCACATTGTCAGGTAGTAAGCTTGAAGAGAACAGCAGAGATGATTACAGATATCCGTGGGGATAAAAAGATAGACTCAATGGAAGAGAGAGGCACAGGATATGAGATTGAACTGTGTTGCCCTGAATGTTTCTGAGTGCTCAAGGGTGGAGGTGTGACTAGAAGACTGCCCTGTTCTCTGTTGTGTGGTGCTTGCAGCAGGTTGTAGGTTCTGCTCTCCAGACCTGAGACCCAAGGGAAAACTTGCTGAAAGCAGTTAGCAGGTCTGATTGCTAAACTGAGTTCTTCAGAACTTTGCTGATGATCCTAATCAGGAGAAAACAAAGACAACTAGCTTCTGATGTTGTATTAATCTTCTAGATTTCAATTACATCTGTATCTGAAAGTGTGGAGCAGAAATATTTGAACTCCAACCATTAAGGATATAGCCAATACCTTTAGCTGAATTAAGAAACTAAATGCATTTTTTTTTGTGACTTTATTGAGGCAGGTTAAATGCCACGGGAAGAAAAAAGGGCATTTGGTCCTGTGGCAGATCACACTGATCATATAGCCTGGGGTTAGAGATCTGGCAGTGCATTTTCTTACTGCCCTCAAAACTGTTGAGAGAACACAAAGAGGGCCAGGGGCTTGATTATTTCTCTTGCTTGTGTTAACTTCAGCAACAAGAAGGCAAGGCTGTGCTTGTAGAACCTTCATCAGTGTATTTCAGTAGTCTATAAGCATAATATTCCACTCTTGACTAAGCAGACATAGCTGAGGGAGAAGGCATCAGTCCACTCATTTGTACTGGCTGAACAAAAAAATTTCCATGGCAAAAGCTTCAGGTGGGATGAATAATTCCCAGGACAGTATGAGCGTAGGGTAAGGTGATACTCTCCTTGGCTTCAGGGCCAACCAGTTGAACAACATATGTTAACTTTTTCCACTGCTAAGGCTATTATAAGGGACAGCTTCCTCCTAAGGTATGTCAAGAAGTTTAGAAATTCTACTGCCGAGTATTCAGCCTCCATAACAAACAAGATTAGGTGCCATTAAAAGCCATCAACATGTAAATAGAGTGGCAGGATGTTGCATCATGTGCTGCCTGCTGCTATGCAAGTGCCATTAGGAAGCTCCTTTTGTATTTGGCTGTAGTAGGTGATAGTGGCAAATAACTGAATCCATCTGTGAGGGTCAAAGCCATCTCTGCTGTGCTGGACCAATTGTATTGCAACAAGATGTTTTGCTTAACTTGCTTTGCATCTTATTCCCTGTGATGTACCAAAGTCTATACGTTTAATAGTCTTCATGTAGATATTTAGTTTTTTCTGGCATCTCCAAGATGTGGAATATTTCTTATTCATTCCCTATGAGAGAAGGAGGAATGTGCTTTTCACATTGTGTGGGAAAGAAATTGAGCTACATATCAAATCTGTCAGAGCTGACTTAGATGGAAGTGAGTTGCCTAAACACCACAAGGGATGGGTATAGGACCTTGGATTAAGCCTGTGTTGACTGACGAACCAAAGACATTCAGCTTTTTTCATCCAGTATTGTTAGTCTTACTGATTCATATTTTGGATTAATATCTTCAGATTCAGTAGAAAAATAAAATGAGTTCTTGCTTGTTGAGCCTCAGTTCCTGTGTTGCATTCTTTAAACAAAAGGTTGCATGGGTTTAAGAAAAATAATTTCAATAATAGGTTTGATAGAAATTGGTTTGAAAATGGTTTGAAGTAGTTGTTTCTGTTCCATTCACAAAAACGTGTGTACTTATCCATAAGCATACTGGCAGAAATCAACCAAATTGATGCAAACCCAGTTGAGTTTTCTTGGAAGTTTTTATACTGGCTTAACAGACTGTCAGTCTAGGCCTTGGAAAATGAGGCTGAATGCATAGGCTATTCAGTCACCTCTGAGTTTATTCTACATGTGAATCTTTAATGGTAATTGTTGTACAGGATTGTGTTTTTTGATGCATCCTAATCAGTTTGAAAACAGATGAGGTTATCTAACTGCTTGGAAACTGTGTAGATAGACCAGTTGACAATAAATTCACAATGTTATGAACTTTACAGCTCAGTAAAATCATGTTTTTATGTATAATAATTAATATATAGGCACCGACAGTGTGTTCAGTTAGATTAAATTAATAGTATCCTTTCTTTCAGACCTATTGTTTATTCCTTTTTTAAAAAGGGGAGTTATGTATATGTGAAATGGCCTGTTGATTTATGGACTGTTTATTCAGGTTCCCGGGATGGTTCAATGGGTCTCTGGGAAGTCACAGAGGATGTGTTGTCCAAAAGTGATGCCAGGCATAATCTCTCTCAAGTTCCTGTCTATGCCCACATAACACACAGGGCTCTGAAGGATATCCCCAAGGAGAACACCAATCCTGACAACTGCAAAGTCCGAGCATTGGCTTTTAACAATAAGAACAAGGTCAGTAAGATAAGCAAGACAGTTGAAAAGTCCTGGAATTATCCATATGTATTAGAAAAAGAAAAAAATAATCTAAATCAAAAATACCAAATAAGCAACCTGATATTTTTTCCCCCTCACCTTTTTGCATTCTTCTCATATGAGTTGGTTGTCTTTATCTGCTATGTCTGCTTCTGCCCCAAGTTAATGGAGAAGTCCAGTAGAAAAAAAAAATTATATGCTTGCAGAAGTAACAGTTTTCCAGTGGGTTTGATTTTAGACTTGCACCCTAAAGCGGGGGAGAGGGATGTTTTCAAGAAGCAGATAGAGCACCAGAGCATCTCTTGCAGCTTGAATCCCACTCTTGAGTGCTCTTGCTGCTTTCCTTCCCCTCTGGTGAAGACCAGCTAATATTCAGGCAGTTCCTGTTTTGATGGCTGAATCGTTGCTGGATTGCTTAGCAAGTGAGGTGACTGACACACAGGCCAGGACCAGTGTTTGCTTTGGTGTTATTTTGTTGGCATTTGACAAACAGAAAATTTAACGTTTACTCTCCCATGCTGATCTCTTGTTATCACTAGAGATGAATTGTACTGGGCCAAGTGGGAGCAGCAATTCTTCCTCCACTACTTTTCTTTCTGCCCTCAAAGAACAAAAGTCTGAAGCAAAGGTGGGTGTGCTCTCAGAAGCACAGTCCTCCTGTTGGTTTTGTTTTTCATTGTAGCTGTTAATTACTCCTTTATGATGGAGACTTCATACAGCTTTTTTCAGTAGAGTAGTGCCTGGAAATAAATGTTTGGTTCAGGGTACATATCAGTGGGGGAGCTACTGAAGAGAATTGTCAACTTTATCTTGTACTGTCTAATGATTTATTATTTGGTTGCCTAACAAGATCTATGCTTTTGAAAGTTATTTTTGTTATTTACTGTTTTATTAATTCTTATTCTACCTAGCACCTTTGTGCTGTATTGCATTCTATCAAGATCAGTAAAAAATGAAGATTTATCTTGATAAGCATGTACAGGATTATGCAGATTATTCAATCCAGAGTATGCAGCCTGCCTAGTAGAGTGTGAGGGTTCGTAAGGATATCTGTAATGCAGAAACTAACTTTCTTACTGTTTGTTTGGTTTTTTGTTTTGTGTTTGTTTGTTTGTTTTTGTTTTTGTTTTTTTTTTTAATAGGAGCTGGGAGCTGTGTCCCTAGATGGGTATTTTCATCTTTGGAAAGCAGAGCACACACTGTCAAAGGTGCTTTTCTGTTTGCTGGTGTTACATTTCAAAAATTGCCTAGCAGTTAAGGCTGTTCACTATTCTTCATCTGCTTTAAATGCTTGAGGAAAGAGCAGCAGTGTTTGTGAAACACCTGAAAGCTTTATGTAAAATGAAATGCCCTAAAAATTAGAATTTGAGGAGAGGAAACTCCCCAGTCTCCTTATTTTGGATGGTGGGAAGTGCTTTTAACTTTCTGCCAGTTCTAGGTGAGCTGAAGTGAACTGTTCCATAGAGTGTGATGGATACTTGATTAGCAGTGTTCATAAAGGAAGTTGCACTTAAGTGTAATTGCAGATCAAACCCAGACATGCTGGTGTATGAGGTAAGCTTTTTCAGCTGAGAGCTGATGTCTGTGTACACTTGCTGAATAACAGCAGCTTAGAAAGATTTAAAACACTTTGCCAAAATGTTATTTTTTCTTTGTGTAATACTTGGCTTCAGCCTTTGTCATCTCAGTTTTGTTTAGATAAGGCATCCCATCTCCTTCACCTTTTTTTCTCTGCATCAGTTTCTTGTTTTTTTCTTAAAGTTCTGTTTTTGTGCTGAACTTATTTTTTAGCTGCATTTTGCTCTTTTCACTGCAACTTCCTTGAACATAGCTTTCAGAATTGTTCTATTAATGTTTTGCTCTTTTCTCATAATGGATTGATTTTTATTTCTTCTGTTTCCAGTTACTTTCCACAAAGTTGCCATACTGCAGGGAGAACGTGTGTTTGGCTTATGGTCAAGAGTGGTCAGTGTATGCAGTAGGATCACAGGCACATGTCTCCTTCTTGGATCCCAGGCAGCCTTCTCACAATGTTAAATCCGTCTGTTCCAAAGAACGAGGCAGTGGTAAGAAAATTGTCAAAGGGTGCTAGCAGAAGTAGCTATTAAGACTGCAGTAAGATAAGCTTTTAGTAAACAGGAAGGCTTTTTCATGTGATAGATTAAATCAGTATATGTAGGTTTGGCTTTTATGACAGTATTCGTTGAGCAACCAACAAACCAGACTTAAAGGCAACTCTGAAATCTAATGATAGACAGCATTAGTGCTTTTATAATCAACTAAGTTGTACACCATCCAAATATTACTGAACTTTTAAAAGTGTGCATTTTACTTCTACTTATTTTTTACTGTGTCTTGTTCTGTTTTACTTCATCTCAAAGCAAATGCAGTCTTTGTACTGCTATTAGTACTGGCTATTCTTGCATTTTTCTCTGGGAATGGAAAAAAAGCATGGTGTTTGCTTTGTGCTGTCATATTGGGACTCTGTGCTGTGAGTGAATGATTGCTTTGTAATTTTAAGGCCTTGTGTACGACTCGTACTTTTCAGTGTGTATTTATTTGCTTTAAATATACAAAACTCACTGTTTAAAAAAAAAATCAGATTTGAGTGCTATTTTCCTTTTCTGATGTGGATGCAACATGTCAAATTGAACCTTACACCAGGGACAAGTGTGAGGGCTTGCAGAGTGCATTGTCCCATAAGCTTCTTCTCATACCTTTGATTTTCAAGCATGAGAAGGCACTGTGCTGTGATGCTCATTTTAAGCCATATTAATCCCAGACTAATTAGTTGCAGTCCTTATTTAGCTTGGCTCCATGGATCGTCTCTTCTTGGGTAAGTTATCAAAAGAGAATGCACATAGGCAGAATTAGGAAAGGTTCATTTATGTGTTACTAAAGTTTGAATGGTGCTGTCTAGGTGAATGTCAGGATCTGCTTCTTTCAGTTATGGGATAAGTTTTGATAATATGAGAAAGGAAGCTTATCAGCTCATGTTGTCACCTGAACAACAGCCCTTGTTTTGACCTGCTGTCAGTGAGCGCTCTGTGGAGGTCCTGACACTGTCACCCTTCAATATTGCAGGGAAGAAATACCAGGACACTAGAGTGTGGTGCCCGCTAGTGGCTCTGCCTTGAGTATGTGATCATCCCTGCTGGTGGGATGATCTATTTATAGGTAGTATCTCTGAGGCATCTCCAGTTCATATCTGGAGAAAGCCTTTGTTCAGTGTTGCTTTCTGTTCTGCATAGTAGGTAATTTTTTTTTTTTTTGGCATGGTGGTGGAGACACTTAAGTGGTGTTAATTCCCAAGATACTGATATGTGTTTCAACTTCCTATTGATCTCTCTGGGACTTTGAGTGGTGCAGCACTTCTACAAAGGAGGCTGTTTATTGATTTTGAGGACTAAAATCTGGGTTGACTTTTAAGTGCTTTGAAGTGTTACCTGAATGTATTTTCAGCTTCCAGATGCACCTGCTTAATGTGGGAAGTCCACATTAACTTCCGATCATTAGTGTTGTGTACAAAAGCAGATCAGAGAAAGAAAGGTTGTTGCTTATTAAGACTGGAATTGAGGCTGGGTTTTACCCAGTGTAACCCTGTCTGCTCTACATGAGAAGGTACCTACTGCTTTTTAGTGCATCTTGTAAGTTGCTTTTCTTAGCAGCTGCACAGGGAAGTGCAGGCCTTGGACTCCACTTCTTGATCTGCAAGAGCAACTGCTTTCTGCTTGGCTGGCATGCAGTCCTATGTCACGTGCCCTTGACTATATCCTGAAGGTGGCCACGTTAGTGTAATGGACAGAGCTTGTGCAGCACGGACTCTGTGTCTACTGTTTGTGTAGGGTATGCTACCGTGTCTTCATTTCCTTCTGGAATTTGTAGAGCCCCTCTGCCTCGCAGGAGTGAGATTCAATTTGCTGACCCAAATAGTCCAGGTCCATAGGTGGTAGAGTGCTGACTATGTTGAAGAGCTTACCACGATCAGTTCTAGGCAGTCTGTGCTTTTAGTTTCATGGGAAAGATTAATCAGAGGTACTTCAGCCCCTTAGGAGCCAATTTGAAGTGCTATTCTTGGCAGTCTGTTCTAAGCATCCTTAGTAGTGGGTACATCAGATTCCTTCAGTTGTTTGGTTTTCTTTTTATTTTTTTTTAATTAAAGATCCAGTCATGCATTTTATAGCTTTTTATTAATAAAATGCATTGAAAAGTATATGCCATTTGCTTTCATACTCTATCACCTGTTTCTGTTAAGTAAGTGTTCTGCTGGACTGCTTGTCAAGAGCACTTTTTGGAGCAAAAATAAGAGGAGTTCCGCTCTTACGCCTTTCTCCTCTTATCCAAGTGACTGCTGACTGCTCTTGCTGATTGTAGAGAGTATTTACCAGAGTCAGCCCTTGTAATGGGGTGTGGGGTGATGTTTCCAACTTGCTCAGATGCATTTGTTGTTCTCTGAGTTAAAGTGAAGATTCTTATTTGAATCTGGTAAATCTATTCAGCAGGTGTGAGACTTGCACAGTGGTTTCCACCTATTAAGGCTGCAGCCCAGACTTCACCTCTCATCTGGAGCACAGTAGTGTGGCCTTGCCTGTTCTAAGCGTGCGTCACAGATGCTGGTGGCTGTGGATGTAACATCAGGTGGCAGAGGCAAAAGGATGAGGATGTTTTTCTAATTAGGACTTCATACAAAGGGGAAGGGGAAACTCCCTGGCTGCATCCACACCTCCTGGATGTCTGCTGCCGCGTGTCCCGCTGGGTGTATTTCTAGGACGTTACAACTTTTGTGATGTTCAGTCCCACTTGGTACAGTGACAGCTGTTGACATGTGGATGTAGCTGGCATAAGTCACTTTTTCCCCTCCTTTTGAATGCTTGTTTGGGCTGTAATTCAGCAGTACTTTAAAGAGGGCTTTAAAAGCCCTAGAGTTTATAACCTGGCATCATGTTTTGCAGGAAGGAAAAGCAAAGATGTGGTGGGTTTAGTCTGCATAGAAGAGTTGTTTAGGGTTGAGTGCTTACCTTTAGCACAATATTAGAGATTGTTGTCTCACAAGCAGAGTTTGTCATCTGGTGTTCAATAGGCCAATACACAGAGCTGAGCTATTGTTTACTTCATGTCTGCGCAGAGACGGTGCTAGGTGGTAATTGCACAAAGCTAGCACACCCATTTTCAGTAATACTGAGTATATATACAGTTAAAAATGTTAGTGACACATCCTTCTAACTAATGGGTCAGTTTTTCTCTCTTCTTAATTACAATTGGTTAGTTCTTTTCTCACTTTGATTTAAAAACACAGTGTTCTTTGAATTTACTACTCATGCTTGGTAAGTGGGGGTTTTAATTCAGGAGGGTTATCCCAACATTTGAAGGTGTGATTTTTAGTATTATATTTATATTATGGTTCTCATGACTGGAGCGTAGGAATAGATGGGCATAAGCTCTTCAGGAAAGATAGGCAGGGGATAAAGGGAGGGGGTGTTGCCCTCTATGTCAGAGATCAGCTGGAGTGTATGGAGCTCCACCTGGGGATGGATGAGGAGCTGCCAGAGAGCTTATGGCGCAGGGTTAAAGGAAAGGCAGGGGAAGGAGATGTTGTAGCGGGGGTCTGCTGCAGGCCCCCTGACCAGGAAGACCAAGTGGATGAGGCCCTCTGTAAACAGATAGAAACAGCTTGGCATTTGCCAGCTATGGTCCTCATGGGGGACTTCAACCACCCCAATATCTGCTGGCAGGACAACACATCAGGGCACAAGCAATTGAAGAGGTTCCTGGAATGCACTGATAACAACTTCCTTATCCAAGTGTTACAGGAACCGATGAGAAAAGGCGCTATGCTGGACCTTGTCCTTACCAACAAGGAGGGGCTGGTGAGTAATGTGAAGCTCAAGGGCAGCCTCAGCTGCAGTGACCATCAAATGGTTGAGTTCAAGATCCTTAAGAGCTCAAAGAGGGTGCACAGCAAGCTCACTACTCTGGACTTCAAGGGAGCGGACTTTGACTTCTTCAGGGACCTGCTTGGCAGAGTGTCATGGGACAAAGCCCTGGAGGGAAGAGGGGCCCAAGAAACTCGGTCAATATTCAAAGGCCACCTCCTGCAAGCACAGGAGCAGTGCATCCCCAGAAAGAGGAAGGCAGGCAAGGATGCCAGGAGGCCTCAGTGAATGAACAAGGAGCTCCTGGACTTACTCCAGCACTAAACAAAAAAAAAAATATATAGGGAGTGGAAGCAAGAATGAGTTAGCTGGGAGGCATACAAAGAGGCTGTCCAAGCAGCCAGGGACCAGGTTAGGAAAGGTAAAGCCCAGACGGAATTCAATCTAGCCAGGGACATAAAGGGGAGCAAGAAGAACTTCAATAAGGACATCGGCCATAGAAGGAAGACTAGGGAAGATGTGGGCCCTCTCCAAAAGGAAACTGGAGACCTGGCCACTATGGATACAGAGAAGGCTGAGGTGCTCAATGACTACTTTGCCTCGGTCTTCACCGACAAGGGCTCTGGCAGCACCACCCAAATTGCAGAAAGTGAAGGTAAGAACTGTGAGGAGAAAGATCCACCCACCCAGTATGTGAAGATCAGGTTTGAGATCATCTAAAGAATCTGAAGGTGCACAAGTCCATGGGACCTGACAAGATCCATCCACGGGTCCTGAGGGAACTGGTAGAGGAAGTTGCCAACCATTATATTTAAAAGGTCATGGCAGTCTGGTGACGTTCCCATGGACTGGAAAAGGGGAAACATAACCCCCATTTTCAAAAAGGGTAAAAAAGAAGACCCAGGGAACTACAGGCCAGTCAGTCTCACTGCTGTGCCTGGCAAGATCATGGAGCAGATCCTCCTGAAGGCTCTCCTAAGGCACATGGAAAATGAAGGAGATTTGACTGGTAACCAGCACGGCTTCACTAAGGGCAAATCGTGCCTGACAAATCCGGTGGCCTTTTACAAGGGAGTTACAGCATCAGTGGACAAAGGAAGAGCAACTGACATCATCTACTTGGACTTGTGCAAAGCATTTGACGCTGTCCCGCACAACACCCTGGTGGCCAAATTGGAAAAATAGGATTTGATGGATGGACCACCCACTGGATAAGGAA